GAACGTAATCACTATGCTCGAGCATACATGACTCACATGAGGCAGTTGCCATGACCTCCTGGAGGTACCGACTGCGCATGCACTGGAAAAACCTGTCAGTCCTTCTTTTTTGTCATGTTTCTATCTCTGTCTGTACGTAGGCCAGCTGGAGCCAAAGCGGTGAGCACAGAGCCATAAGGTGCATGCCAGTCTTTGTAAAGATGCACATTTACATCTTTGGGCGAAATGTATAATGGAAATGCCGTGTGCTGTGGTGGCTATGTGTGCAGTCAGAGATGGAACAGTTACCGGAAAAGGAATCAAACATTTTTTTATTTTTTCAGATGGAATTTCATCATTTGTTTCATCTTTTCCCTGGCACGCCTTCTTTAATGCGTCCAGACACACACATACACACACACACATACACATACACACACAATCCCTTTATCTGCTCCCTGTGTAAATGTCGACCTTAGCTTTTACCCAGAATTTTTGTCTTGCCTTCCTCAGCTGTCCCTGTCAAATCTTTAAGTGTACACAGAGCTGGACCCACAGTCAATTCAGAAATTTGCCCCAACATGAAGTTCTAAGCCTTGCTCAAATATTGACACGGCCTGACCTTCAAATAGAAATAGACTCCGCTGAGCTTCTATTAGCTGGCAGTTGAGGGAGGACCTGACAGACACCGATAAGTGAAACACATAAGAGTGAGGATAATGTGTACTTATCAGTTTAGCTACAAACAGGTGTTTTTTTTCTTCTGGGAATTCTCTCGAGAGGTCTCTAATAATAAGAAAAATGTTTCTCCTGTGATGACCTCGTTTTAAAGTCTGTATTCCGTTGACGCATAAACATTGGAAGTGTGAGGTTGTTCTTAAGAGTTTGAGAAATTCAAATTGCCATTATTTGTTTTTCACACACGCTAAAAATGTCTGATTTGTTTTTTTAGGTCAAGATTAGCTTTTAAGGCTATAATTAAGTTGGAATAAATGTTTTGGTTAGGATGATTATTATTGTTTGGGTAGGGCATCTTGGAAATGCATTATAGCAATTCAGAGAATGTTTGTGCTTGTGAATAGACAGTGTGCTGTTAGGGATTTCTTTTTCTTCATAGTGAGGACAGAAAAGCAACTGTTCATCAGAAATATTAAGCTGAAGTTATGTTTTATGGTAAAACTTTGTCTATTAGTTAGCATTCTCTTTGTGGTGGTTACTGCCCCAGCTAGAGAAAGTCTTTAAAAAATAACTTTATGTCTTCTGAAGTCACACAAGCACATTTGTGAAAGTGACAAAGAGAGAGAGAGAGAGAGAATATTATGAGGGCCCTTAGATTACCACGGCAAAGGTTTGGCATTAATCTCTCAACCCTCACCTTTTTCCCTTCATTGTTATCATCCTCACAACATTAAGGCTCAGCCCTTTGCTCGCTGTTGTCTCAGCCGAGCCTTAGCCCTGACAGCGCAGGCTTCTTTCTGTCTAAGCCTCGTTTCCCTTTCTTTTATCAGCCTGTCAAGTTCAGGGGATGGACCTCTGGAGAAATTCCCCCTCAGGAGGGGAGAGCTGCAGCAAAGAGACAATGTTGCAGACCATTGATTCAATATACCAATTGAAACTGCATCCATCCAATGTCACCTGCAAGTGCAGATTTGAGCACGTGTGTTTGTATCTGCTCAGTTATGCATGGATCAGTACATGTGTGTGTCCAAGAAGGGTGAAGGAAAGATCAGCCGAGGGGGAGAATTGAAGGACACTGCATATTCTTTGCACACATAAAAGAATCAGGACTGAACAAAAAAGAATAAGAGTACACCCTCCTGTTGTTTGTCAAAGACAGAAAACTCATGAATGAATAAAATGGCTACACGTGAAAAGCGTGGTGCAGGCTGCAGCAACAAAAACGCATGCCGCATTACCACGAGAGAACATTTAAGAAATCATGAAAACTGGCTGATTTACCGTTTCAGGTTCCTTCTGAAGTCAGAGCTGGCTTTTTCCGTCTTTGCCATGACATGATGTAAATGTGATCCTGAGAGGATGAAACTGTCAAACTTTAAACATTCTTTCACCCTCTTACAGAGCTACTTTGAGGTGGGTATCATTTTTTTTTAGGTCTTCTATTTTCACGTGATCAGTAGGGCTTTAGCTCTGAAGAGCAGATTCAATTTCTGAGAAAATGAGGTTGCATTGTTGACATGTTCCCTGCATAGCTATCCGGTTTTCTCTAAAACACAAACAAAAATATCAAGAAGCCGAGACTTGCATCATCATACTGCTTGAAAGTGTGGGCAGATTTAAGAGTATTAAACTGCATATGGTCGTGTTCAGTTCTTCATCATAAAGAACTAAATCAGAGAAATTCTGCTCATTATTATGAACATGAAATTTCAAATGAGCCCACCACTGCGCTTCACTCCGCGCATTAATTGCCAGCTTACTAACATTAATTAGGTGTGTGCTACGAACATCGTCTATAATTTGCTGCCTGCTGCCCTTGTAGATAATTTAGACGGCTAACTAGCAACATATTTTACGAGGAACTGGGTATCCTGGCTTCCATGTAGCTCATCACATTGAGCATGCACACGTAATAAAAGAGTCCTTAGCACCTCCAGGAAGGGCTGAGTTGAAATCCATCCTGGCCCCAGTTTCTCTTTACCATCCACCAATTATTTGATAAAAGACAAATGCACAAGAATAGTTGATTGGCATAAAAGTGTTTCTCATATTTATGGAAGATATTAATTGAAAGATATTGGCAGTAAGTACAAGAAAACCTCCCCAAAGGAGGATTGCTCCTGTGTTAAGTGTGCCCCTACCCTTAAAATAAAACCTTCACCTGTGTTGGTGAGTACATTAACTTTCTGACAGAGATGCTGACAACAGCATTCAGCAGCGAGCACCTTCATAGAGCCTCCAACACAGCTGCAGACGCTTTGTTCTGCTTCATTACATTCAACTAAAACCAACCACACAATGGTTAATGCATACGGTGACTCACAAGGGTCACACCAGGTTTGACACTGATGGGGAGGTTTTGTTCTCTTATGCCTCGGCAGGGTGTCTGATGGCTGAATGCTTAAGACGCATTATATAAGGATGTACCCGTGTTGCTGTGATGACTCCAGCTGGGAATCTTTATCCCTCTCGCTGTGTTTGTCCGGCCTTCTTATACAGCTGTAAAATATCCCCAAAAAAGTCAAGAAAGAAAAACTAAATGTATCCGATGACCTTCTCAGAATGTGATTCAGCTCGAACTGCAGATGAGTTAAAGTGAAACGACAAAACAGGTCGTCAAGCTGACACTATGTAAGATAGGGCAAGGTTCAAAAGAATAATCAAAATGAATAAAGATTAGCTTGTATTTTTCACAGAATGGTAAATTGTCTCACTTTCAACATTTGTTCTATTGCTTAATCTTTTTATTGCCTTCAGATTTCACTCACCTTTTGACTAGCAACCCAACTATTTTGGAAAAGGGATTATTATTATGTATTACGTATGCTGCAAAAGTACAGTGAGAATATATATGACCAATCTAATAGCAAAAATGAAAGCCAGACATTGCTGTAATTTCGAATTCTTGTTGTCATTCACAAATAGCAGCAAGCGAAGACATTGATTAAAGTATTCGTGAATCATGCAAAATGGAGGGTGAATTAAACAGCCGTCACAGTGTTCACAGCACTCGACAAATGTGTATGAAGTTCCGCTGATTTCATCATCCCTCTGGGGGTCCACTCATTGAAAAGATTAAATATGTTCCCATAACTTTTTGGAAATCTCATAGAGGGAATCACACACACTATGACAGTCCACGGTCCCCCTGTGTGTTACCTTATTTTCAAGGTCCCACACAAATTCTGTGTTCTCGTCGCTCACAACACATTTGCATCTAGCCATCCGCCAACAGCTGCCAATTAGCAAACAGACTACCTGGTAACACACACGCATCGCTGCCAGTTAGAGAAAGTCAAGAGATCTCGCTGTCCAAACGGCCAAAGCAGAGCAACAGCCAGTATTTCATACACACTCACAAGAAGAAGGGCAGGTTTTTTTTTCGTGTAGGGGAAATCCAGGAACAACTAATGTTTTTTTTTAAAGGTAGGAAGGAATTGGGCCGGTGGGAACATTCTGTGCCAGGAACAAGGCTTTTAGAATTTAATTTCTCATGTAGTCAAGGGGCTAGAAATGAGTCACAAGGGTAGAAATGGTGGTTGGGTAGATGGGGTGTGAACCATTGAACAGACACGCCAACCACAGCAAGACACTTGCTCAGTAGAAGGAAATCAACTTAAAAGAAAGACTAAAAAAACTCACACTTAAAGTTTTGCCAAAGGCAGAGTATCCCTTCCTTCAAACATGATCTAATGTATATTCCCAGTAAATGTTTACAAGTAGGAATCATTCCATAGAAGGATATCTAATCCGTGAGTTTCCAGGGCGCCACCAAAAGCTTTGGAGCAGAACATTGCAGGATGCATCTGCAAGCAGGCACATCGTTATTCTTGTCCAGCAACCTGGAGACCACATACACATGTGTGACACACCCACACACTCCAACACATAAACACCGAGAACGTAATGATAATTTCCGCATGCAGCAGCAGAGAAATTGAACAATTCATTATTGTCTGCCTTATAAAACAGCACAGCGCTGACATGGTAATGGAATTTATCAATGGCCAAAGCCACTAGATGGCACCATCCTCCTTTCATTTCCAATTTACTTTCTCATTGCTCATCTGACTTTGTCGGATGGAGAAATAGATGCGCCCTAAATACTAAATGAAGGAAAGAGCACTTATCCATATCAAATTCACTAGATTTAAGAAATACAAATCCATAAATTCCAGAAACTGCTTTCAAAAGAGGTGACTTCAACTTCAGTCATTCTGTGCATTGTTGACTTAAAATCAAGTTTAAGGCATATCAAAACAAAGAAGAAATATTGTTCAGATCTCACATTGAGCACTGATCACAGACCATGTTTGAAAAGGAGGGAAGCTTTAATATAATGTTTTTTAATTTGATATAATCACAAAACAAGGAAATGAATTAAAGCTACAGACCAAAGCTTCATTACAAAAACAAGCCAGAAAAAAAACATTCATTGAGTATGTTTGTCAAACTGAGTAACATGAAAATGAAACACTTTAAGCCAATTTCGGTTTGGAGTAGCTGGTGAATAAGAATCCTAATAAGTCAAAAAGGAAAATATCACATATCTGCATGTCTGAATGTGAAAACTTGTTTTGTCTGGTGTTATTTAACAAAGAACAGGGACCTATGCTGTGATTAAATCAAGGCACTTCAGTGTTCAAGCAGACTTACTGGGCTGAACTAAGTCTAATGACGATCATTTCTTTTTTCCAGCACTCTTGGCACGTTTGTTGGGCTGCTGAGTGGAAGCAGAGGTGGGGGCTGTTCCTTCTTGTTCTGCTGGCTGGGCCTCCTCCAGAACGGGATTTTCATCCTGCTCCTTTTTCGTGGCTGCCATCTGATGGCTAATAAATGCTTCACAGGCATCAAATAACTTCTCACAATGCTGGTACATTGCCTGGAGACAACACAGAGGCAGAAGGATAGGACGTTTCAACAAGGTTTCCAAGCACAAGGAAAGGCAACTGACTTGAAAACAGCTCATTATGGTCTTCTACATCTTCTAAATAGAATTTCAGGCATACATGTCTCGGTCTCACTGACCTGTACATTGTCATTCAACTCCATCTGAAGCCTCATTAGCTCCCTTTGCTTGAACACCTGCTGTTTATGGCGCTCCACTACATTTTCACGGACCAACCGGTAGGTCTGAATCTTTTCAAAACGCTGTCTCTGCTTGACCTCCTCTCTCTGTGAATCCATTAGCTCTGGGAAATCCTCTTGGCGTCTAGATGCAAACACAAGCTTAAGTGTTTACTGTGTGAGTATGTATGATGTACCATCATTTACTCCAAGTTGCTATCTGTCTGTTTCCATTGAGATATCTCAACAGAAAGAATAATTATAAACATTGGCTCACAATTTTTATTCTTAGAATATGTATTTATAGTGCATAGTAAAACTTCTTTCATAACAAATATAGTGCTGTCCTGTTGTACACAGTATTCTATAAGGTAGAGCTGTGTGAGAATTGTATATTGCACACGCGGTTGGAGAGATGGGGGGGTGTTGACATGGGCAGGACACAAAATGAAAATGTGGAAAAGATAAATCCGAGATAGGAAGAAGAAATGATGAACACATGGTCCCATGCCTTATCTTATATTCCAAGTTGGGGATTGTGATATATATCTGAGAAGTCTGTTTGCTTTTGGATATACCGACTATACTCTTCCATTCCTCTTTTATGAACAGATTTGCTAACCTCCACACCATTTATGTGTGTGGACATGGAAGAGACAAGACCAGACCAAGAGGATTAGCTGAAAATGAGTGAACCATTTAGTCCTTCAGCGTATGTCTTTACCAGAACAAAATGACAGGGAGTCGCCCTGTGAAACCAGCACGGTGAAGATTTGATTAACATTGAAATGTTAATGCACATTTAACCTTAATGAACCTTAATGAAAAGGGAGACCAGGTGCATGGCTTAATAAACAATGCCCTTGTTTAATCTCCGTCACCCTGTGTAGCAGCATGTAAAAAAGTCCATAAAAATGGCATGCATGGTGCACCTTTGTGGGAGAGGAGTGCTCTGCAGACTGATCTGACACCTTTAACATACTACTCCCCAGACTGCAATCTTTACTCAGATTGCAGGCCACAGTGTCAGCAGCCATTAGTCGCTGAGCACAGTGGCATGTGAGCAGACACACTCACACAGCAGGAGAGGATGAAGAGGTGATAGAAGAGGGGCACATCTCATTGGAGTAACAGGGGCCCTGAAATAGCTTTCTAATTAACAGACACAAATATCATCTCATTTATCCTGAAGAGAGATGGACAGAGGGAGAGATGGAGTGAGAAAATGAGAGATGGCATGAGGGAGAGTAATGGGAGACTCTGGCAGATCTGTGCAGGGACACTTCCTTTAAAAACATTGACAATGTCACATGTTAACACACACTTTCCATCTTTGTTCCCTGAGCACCTTTATGAATCAATCTGTTGTAATAGAAACACTAAGAGACACACAACCTTTACCAGTACTGGATGTGGCCTTATTACTGCCCTTTACAATAATGTATTTTTTCTCAGTGACAGGATGTGAGTTATCATTGTTTGAGAGAGTGAAAAGGTTTTAAAAAGAGTGTAAGAACAGTTACAAACCTAATGAGGGGACTGTTGTCTAAGCGAGAGAGGGAGGTTTGGGGATGACTCAATGTTCCTTTGGATTGACTCAGACAGGTATCTGGAACAGATCTGGAAAGATCTGTAAATGGGGAAATAACTATGGAATGAAAAGACACAAGAAGAGGCTAAGTCCAAATATGTGTGTTTATGTTTAGCAATATACCAGAGTCCTTGTTTTCTTCTGATGTCGGCCTGTTACTTTCTTTATTTTGGCCGTGGCCAAGGAATTCAATGCGAGACTGTAAAGCCTAAAAAATACAGCAAAAAAAGATTAAATAAATATATGTAGAGTATGTTTGAGCAAAGATGGAAAAAAGATAACTGGTCTTTTTTTTCACTTTGTTTGTTTGCTTATATGTTTCTTATTTTAAAAATCTGAGTTACCTTAACAGAGCGTCCTGACTCCACCATTTCCCAGGCCTTTTTATTGCTTTTAATCTGTTCTATTCTCTCTGTGTCCCTCTTCACATCAATGGCATCTTTTTTGCTCTCATCAGTGACTACGCGCAGCGTCCAGTTAGCTTTTGTCAGGTCAAGGCTCTAGAAAAACACACATTCACATGAAATTATCTCTTTGTACTAAACACACAACATTATAGACTGAATGCATACTACTCTATGGATTTAATTTGATTTTGATAAAACCTCTCACACAAACATATAAATATTGGTGATATAACTACATGTTACCATAGAAGAGTATCAATTTGGTCACTTGGTAATATTGACGCTGCAGAATATATTTAATATTGTACTGTTTAAATAATTCCTTTAAAGTTGCAGTGGTTCACAGCTGACGTAATGAGTAATGCATTACCGTTTCCTGCTTGGGGACAGATTTAGAGGTGGGATGTGACTTTCCCTTCTCCTTGTCATTTTCGCTTTTGCGGTTGGTTTTGGGTGCGTTGGACTTGTGCCCATCAGTGCTTGGTGGGTTACTTATGGATGAAGGCTTCATATCTTCACTTTTATACACTAAATTTTAGGACAGAGATCAATTAGATTCCCATGAAGTAATGTCACTGAATTAGCTGCTATGCACTGCTCTTCTAAATAGACATTAAAGTGTGGACCTCTTTGGCAGCCAGAGCTGCACAGACCTTTATTGCCTACAAGGGGCAATATACAAAAAAAACAGAACTCATTCACAAATCTATAACCCCCTCCCCTTAACTGTGACTATGACACGGAAATAAAACAATGAAAGTGTTGTGCACTTAAATGTTTGCTAGATGGCACTGTTGCACTTTCAAATTCTCACCAGTGCACTTCTAAGATTAGATAAGGTGTTGCAGTATCAAGATCCATCATTTACTTGACTCCCCGTCATTATTTCTGTACTATTCTTCAATAATCATGTATACTCTTATTTAAGGTCACGCAGAAATTAAAAGCTATAGCTTGGTCAAATGATTAATAAGCATTTTAAATTAACAAAAGAAAACTTCAAACTTAAATAAATTTGGTCAAAACATTTTTTCCCCAACTATAACTTTGAACACAAAAGAAAGCTCAGACAGAATCACAGCAAAAAGTATCCCAGCTGTTAAATGAAATGAAAAGGCTGACACACAGCTACTGCTGACAGCTGACGGTTTGGACGGGATATACCAGGGATTTATAGTGGGGAGCATGGCATTCATTGAACATATGCTGTGGAGTAATTAGACTTCAGCTTTCTTAAACTGTAAAATAGGTTTTAAAGCCTGATGTGAATAGAAGACTGTATTTATCTGTGTAGTATGTAGAGACCACGATCAAGGGCACAGTCTCACCACTGAGGCAGAGTTACACTGGGTGAAATTAATTCACTCTCCAGCTGGGATATTTCCCTGGGCACCAAGGGGCAAGAGCCAACTTCATTTGACATCCCATTGACCCATTTCCACAAGATTATTGGAAAACACAAGAGGTTTGTGTAGAAACTGGCCTTTCTACATATATATATATATATATTTATATATATATATATATTTATATATACCAGGACAATCACAAGCATTTAGAATAATCTCAACATATGGGATACTTCAGAAACAATAGGCAAGACAAACATGCTCATCAAAGCTGAATGGATATATCTGGGTACCATTGTCCAAATCAAAAGTAAAAAAGTGTGAGAACTCAATGTCAGCAAACTTGCTTTCTCCTAAAAATGTCATGTACTCGCACAACATTTCATTCACCCCTTTTATATTTTTAAAGATTTGATTGATATTTTGTATAAGAGAAAATGCAGAGCTAGTGGAAAAGGACAGGATTCCTGAAACAGCCACTGGCTGATAAGCACAAGACATCACACTCTGATCTGTGAAAGCAGCTGTATTCATTTGGCTTTTGTTAGGCTTCTGATTACAGGCCTCTGGCTATCAGAAGCAGGGAATATACGGCGTCTGCCTCGGCCTCTGACACTGCCCACTGAGTATGTGCCTCATTTAAAATGGAACACAAAAAAAATTAGGTGTGCAAGAGCAAATGCAGAGGAAAGAAAAGAAATATATTCATAACTCAAGGCTCTAATGCTGACTAACGTCTGAATACAATAATGAAAATGGAAATACCTCATGACCCATCATGGGCATACATATATTTGGGGCTATCTGAATCATACATTTGAATCATGCATGATGCACATTAGGATATTCAGATAAAGTGATACTGAAATGTTTTCATGGCTGTCCGTTCGGCGACTGAAAATGGCTGACGGTTTATATGGTTAATAATTGTCTTAAGTACAGCATATACCTATCTTCTTCTTCTCCTCCATGTCTTTCAGCATTAAAGCAAAAGCCATCTGAGATTCATCCAAATCCCAGCTCTTACTGAGCACTTTTGCTTGCACCACATACTTATGACCCTATAAAATAGACAAAAAGCAAAATATAAGTGAAAAATACACATTACAACACTATCTTAATGCAAGCATGTATTACATTTTATATATGAAGTTAAATCCCTGTGCATAATATACTGTGAACATGCGGCTGTACACTGCTATAGAACAGCCTTAAAGACTAACACGTTTTATGTTTTGCCGTTTCCTGTCCCATTTGACAGAGTCACAAAGAGGGAGTGAATGTAGAGGGGTTGTTGACCAAGATTACATCAGAAATAATGCATCTACAGTATTTGGCATGATATTGAATTGGAACAAGATCTCAAGGTGAGATTTAGGCGAGCTACAAAAGACATACAGAACAAAATGGAGTAATACAGAACTTCCATTGTTGATATTAATCCCTTTATATACAACTGAGGACAATTAATTAATTTGACACAAAGTGATTGTATCAAGAATGTTTAAAATGCTTTTGACAACTACAAATGGCTTTATGACCTAATATGTGTTTCCACTGCTTGAATAAGCCAAAATAAGCCTTCATGATTAGTACTCCGTTAATGAGTAACAATATCATATCTTTGTGGCACAACACAGTGCTCTGACCCCTTGATTGATTGAAAGTCTTGATCAATCTATTAGATATTACACCATCTGCCAGAGCCCTAGGGATTATAAGACACATTTACAACAAAAACAAACATTTTGGTAATTTGTTGTCTTGCATTTAAGATGCATGAACCAAAAAGTTTTTTTGGACGTAGTAAATGTACACGTTTTGCTGTATTGAAACTGTCAGACAGGTGGTTAATCGGGCAATAAATCATGAGCAAATAATGAGTGTCCTTGAGAAATGCTGATACGTCATAAACTAACAACAAAATCACCTCTACAGATTTTGCTGCTCTTGTTTTTGTCAGATTTTGTCTGTGCAAATGTGTGTGTGGGTGACTGTGTGTCTGTACACGCGTGCACGCTTACAAGTGTGGTGTTATTTGGCAAGAGAAAAAAACTGATATGGACAGACAGCAAGCAAGTGGGTGAGAAAGACTGATAGGGAAAGTGCAATGTGCAGGCAAGTGAGATCAGTTAAGTGTGTGAGCAAAAGTAGATACCACATAGTTGTCAGTGATACCATAGTCTTAGTGAGAGGCTGGTGGTGGTCAGATGAGGAGCCTGGCTTTACAACTGTGCTTTCTTCTCCATGTCTCTGCTGAGGAGTATCCTGTGTGGGGGTTTCATCTTCGGAAATGGGTTCTATGAGAGAAGTCCAGTGCTTTATACCTTGCTGTATTCATACCAGCTTCTTTCATATGAATTCATTTCTCTACAAACTCATAAAAGTATATGTATTCTACAAATATTGCTCTATCATTCATAAAACAAAGAGATTTGTTTACGCCTTGGGGCTACCAATAATATTGGAACGTTTTTTTTTAGCAAAAAAATATTTCAAAGCAAATTAACCTGCACCAGTTTTTCATTTAAATTCAGGCAGGTATGGTGTAATTCTCAATTTCTAGCATCCCAAAGACATGAAAAAACAGATAGGGGTCAAATAAAGAGGAAAGACAAAAATGTAGCCATTGTTGCCATTTGTATAGTAACCTCAGCACTCATATTTTTGATGGGTGTGGTATATGTACTGTAAGTTGGTTAGTGTATTGAGATGCCTCAAATTTTTACTAGGTCTTCAGAGTAGTAAAAAACTGGCACAGTTGTTTCTTTGGAATGGATCATTAAAAACATTCTTAATTTGTGAAACTGAACCACAGATATAAATTATGCCGAACTTTCAAGGACACTTTAGTATTACAAATATTTCGCTGTCATCAAAGTTTAATTTCTTAAATACTTTAGTTACTGCACGTAATAGAAGCTAACCTTTGTTGGCATTGAAATAGAACACAGGAATTATTACATGGCCCATCCCAGTGTTGCCAGCCACTTCCTTCTCATGGTCCAGAATGGACAGATGTATCAGTACATCTGGCTTGGAGGTTTGAAACTGAATTGTCCCCAAGATGCCCACTGTTACATTGACACAAAAACTGAAGAAAAGATTATGAAGGTACAGTTTGTCTTCGATCAGGATTAATTTCTACTTTATATGTGTGTGTTCTCTTACCGACATATGAGGTTGTCATCATTAGGAAAGTAATAATCCAGGAATTCCTTCACAGAGAAAGAATTAGCCAGACAATTATTGGGTAGTTTTGGAAGTGGCTCCTTTGAGCCTATCAATCTCATCCTCCACTTTGTTCCGGCTGGGAGTGATTCAGGTGTAACAACCTCTGCTAGAAAGGTATAACCAAACTGTGAAAAAAGGAAAAAAAGTTTACTTAAAAAAAAAAAAAACAGATTTAACTAGAAAATTTCTGAAGAAATTTTGGAGGGGGGCCACCCGTTGCCCGTCTGGGAACCCGGGGCGGGTCGGCCAATCGATATTTGGGCCCTCTGTAATGTGGGCTCGCGCCTATGAGAGGGCCTGAGGGAGAGACGCAGTGATGGAGGGACCCGGCTGAGCTCTGGGGCCCGCTGACCGAATGCGGATGGGGCGGGCAGGTCGGGGGTCACGTTGGCTGAAAGCTGAGAAAAAGACCTACGCAACGAGGTATGACATGGCCCCGGTTCGGTTCTGACCCGGTTGGGTCCTAACCCTAGAACCGGAACCAGAACCGGGCTCTGACTAAAGCCCTCTAAGCGGGCTTCGCCCGCCTTGAATCACAAATAACGTATTTCTTTAAAAATCATTGAGAGCGGGCTTCGCCCGCCTTGAACCAGGAGTATGACATGGCCCCGGTCCGGTTCCGACCCGGTTGGGTCCTATCCCTAGAACCAGAACCAGAACCGGTCTCTGACTAAAGCCCTCTAAGCGGGCTTCGCCCTACTTGAATCACAAATAACGTATTTCTTTAAAAATCATTGAGAGCGGGCTTCGCCCGCCTTGAAACAGGAGTATGACATGGCCCCGGTCCGGTTCTGACCCGGTTGGGTCCTATTCCTAGAACCGGAACCAGAACCGGGCTCTGACTAAAACCCTCTAAGCGGGCTTCGCCCGCCATGGTAACAGGAATAACGTATTTCTTAAAAAATCACTGAGAGCGGGCTTCGCCCGCCTTTGAAGCAGAAGCACAGCTCACAGAACTCTGCAGAGTCTCTGGTGGTCGCCACGGCGACAGCAGCCAGGCCAAAGTCTCTGCTCCCACACCTGTGACTCATCAGTAAGCCGCAGTTCTGACACAGAGAAGTGGCAGTTTCTATCAAACGTTGCCTCCGAACGGCTGTACGCTGTTCGAAAACTATAACACAAAACTGAAAAATTCTTGGACCGTGAGCGGGCTGAGACTTTCACGTCTCAGCACATCTGTTTATTTTTCGCCTGCTCCCAGCGGTTATTTTTTTATGGCAATTTCAAAATGAGGGTCGTTTTGTCTCTGGTGAAAAAAAATCTCTCCTTTCTTCCATTAAAATCCTATTGGAGAGGTTTGGGAAAGTCTGGACTCTGGGCCCGATTGCCGGAGAACCGTAAGGCCGAGGTCCAAACCGGGCACATCGGGCGAAAGAGGACACTCGCGGCTACGTTTTGAGGCCATTTTGGCACCGCTCGGCCCCACGGATTGGTCACGAGAGGCTAAAGTTTGACTTTTTTTCAGTGAACCTCCCCACTGGACTCTGAGAGCTCTTAACGAGCTGAATTAGAGTGCGGGCCAGGATCTCTGATTTTCTGAATTTCACTAAAACGTCAACAGCGATTGCGGGCAAACGGTGCGAGATCTGGCCTCGTGGCTCCGATATGGCGGAGGCCCGTCTTTCGTGTCCCGTTCAATGTTCAAACGACGTCTCTCGGACGCTCTGGGCCCGAGCGATGAGGCCCTGACGGGCCTCATCTTTCGGCTTTTTTTGTGCCTTTTTTTCTGCGTCCCCCATGCATTCCTATGGGAAAACGCTCGCCACTTTTTCGCAGTTTACTCGGAAACGCGCGCTCCTTTGAGAAAGTTTTTAACAAGCACGCATGGCTAGGTGGGTCCGAACGCGCGTGCCGACTTTGGGCCCGATCCGTCGAACCGTGCGGGACGAGAAGCGGTCCGCGGAAGCGGGAGAACTATAATAATTATTATAAGCCGCGGAATAAATATGACGAAGAGTAATAGGTGGGCCTTGCCTTCGGCAAGGCCCACTGCCGTGGGCCTTGCCTACGGCTGTGGCCCCCCTAACTATGATATCAAAATATCTTCGATGTTTATTACTATGGAGTAGCAAAGATCTTAAGAAAGAAACTTTTGAGGTAACATAACATCAGAAAATCCCACATCCACTGACCTTATTTGGTTGATAGATGCGGGGTGCAATTTTGTTACAGAGATTGTCCATTTCTTTCCCTGTATCATTATCTATGACATGCAGCAGACTATTTGGAAATGGAAAGTAGACTTTCGGTACGAGCAACATCTCCTTAGGAATAATGAAAACTTCTCTGTGAAAACAAAAAAAGTAAATTGGATTAATAAAGATGAACATCATAATGTTCCCACTATTTACATTCTACAGGAATATCATACACATCTTTTTGCTCTGACAGTCAAAGTGAGAACTTCAAAGGCAACAATAAAACAGTTGGTAAGAACAGTCCATCAATTGAGGTTCCAATTACATTTCCAAAGAAAGGACAAGAATTGTATTTTACCGACAAGTCTAACCTTTGGGCTACACATGTTCTCTCACCTAAAGACCAAAACCCAGGCGTTGGCTGTCTCTTGCAGAGATACAGAATAGTCAGTAAAAGTGATTCTGGTTGATTCATCTTGTATGCAAGGGTAGAGCTCTGCTTTCTTCTCAGAGTTTTCGATGATGTAGCTTTGCAGAAAACACAAAAGTTAAGAAGTTAAGAGAAAATGTTGAAACATGAACACAAATTTGCTCCCTGATACTATAACTATATATGTGCTTTGTGCTTCATTGGTTTCGATAGCCCAAAACCTCTCTGCAAGCTGAAAGTGAATGGCATCCGGTAAATAAAATAATCAAAAGACTACCCGAGAGGAGAGGACATGCACTTTGCCTCTCAGCCTGAAACTGATGTTTCTGTCAGTTAAGACAAACACATGCTCAAGGATTCAACACATCCAACAACAAATCTCTTTATACTTCATACACACATTGTACAAGCTTTCAATGTTCATGCACACCCATACTTCCCCAGGCAGCAGGTCATTCGGCAGACGCCGCAAGCTGATTGGAACGAGGAGAGTATAAACAGCAGATGGTACCACTGGGAAAAGATGGAACACAATGTGGAAAATGCTCCCTGCATGGCCCCCACAGGCTGCCATAACCAGTAGAGGGAGCATATATCTGGGCAAGCAGTGAAACAGCAAAGCTAAAGTGTGCTATGCAATCTATATAGCATTAGAAGAATGAGTCTTTTTGTATCATTTCAAACAGGGATATTTCAGTTACCATATAGTTGTAACATGATATGCATGCCATAAGTGTATATAATAGATATTTCACATTAGTCATTATAATAATGTATTTTGGAAAACTGTATCTTTCAGTCACCGTAGCAAGATGGCGGCTTGTTTGTCGGCATTTGATTCAATCTTCGACCAAATTTCCAAAAGTATCTTGGATACACAATGGTTCTCCTTCGTTCCTAGAAGATGTAAAAACACATGCAAACACAGTAAAATAACCACCAATAATGAACACATGAAACAAAGCAATAGTAGACCTTGTTCAGGGTAGACAACAAAAATTGCAAATTGTTTTTTGTCCGATTCAGTTGGAGGAGATTATTCCCACCCTGGTAATATCAGGGTGGGAATAATCTCCTCCAACTGAACTTTCACACTCATCTCACCAAACAAGCAAACAAATACAATTTGATGGAAGAAAATGCTGATAAACACCAAATTGGGATGTCTTCTTTGGCCTCTGTCAGTTAGAGTTTGTTTGCCCATACAAGTGAAAGAAGTGCTCTAAGGAGATTACTAAATAATTGATTTTTTTTCACAGTTGACATATGGCAAAGATGTCGTCACATTCTTCCATCATACAATTCCCCTCTTTCCCTGCTCTCCGACATACCATTTCACATCAAACCTTTATCATGCGGCAAAAATGGTTGATGTGAAATGAAAGAAAGAATGTATAGACAAAAATAGAGGTACATGTGAAAATATGAAGAAGGAAAAAATGTACAGAGGAAAAGAAAAAACAGATGTACAGATATGAGAAGCATGTGCTGAGAGACATCATGTGATAAAAATGCATTCTGGAAATGCATCGCCTTTAAAGTGTTGTAACAGCCACTGGTTTTAAAAGTACTATTGAGGTGTTGCCATTACTTTAAGGGCTATTCTAAAAGGTGCACTTTGTGCTTTGAATTGATTTATACAATTTTACAGTTAACCATGACAAGTCTATTTCATATAACTCAAGCTACTTGGACAGAGTATGCATATGTGTGTAGTCATGGAAATAACAAATAACTGCATTTTTTGTCCTAACAGGAAGGTGGATCTTTTCATAATGTGACTGTTCTGGTTGTCTGACATAAAACAATTCAGATTGATGTAAATCTCATCAATACTGCTATATGATGTAGTTTTATGCTATGTCTGCATTGATATGACGGTCCATACTCCAGAGGGTAACAGTATCACATGGTGTGCCTCAAGTGAGCACAGTTTAACTTGAGGCAATGGCAGTGAACACAAAATATGCACATCTTTACCTGGTTTTGAGGCCTCAAGGATGTCTCGCACCAAGTGTCCTCTGAATGCAGCTTGCAGAATGGTGACTGCCTGGAGCTCCTCGGCTGTTGGCTGTCTATTTTGCCAGATCTCTGGTGGTTTAGAATCTGTCTCTACTATAAAGCACAGGATGAAAACTATGGAATGTGATTCAGTGATGGACATGTTAAAAGAAAAGTGTTTTGATGTAAGGAAAATGGTGTTAAATTGTGATGGCAATGATTAGAAGCCACAGTTATTCAAGAAAGTTTTTTTTTGTTTGGTTTTAGGGAAATGCATATCCAAATTAAAGAATTAAACACACAAACAGGGCTTACCTGTAAGAGTGTTTTCCTCTGGGTGAAAGGCCACGAGTGAGGGGTCAGCAGTGAGGGCCTGTACAGCAAACAACTCTTCTGCTGTCAGCTTTCTGCCTAAAGTCTCATGGACCATGAGGTAAACTGCCGAGTTAAACACCTAGTCTCCAACACACAGAGGCAGACGTTTAAATTGAGTACATAAGTAGAACAGGCCACATGTACGTAAAATTACTGAAATAATGTGCATCTATCATTCTGCATCAAATATACCAAAATCAAGAAGGAATCAAGTGATTAATGACAGGAGTGGTAGGAAAACTAAATCAGTAAGCAAAAGTATAGCCTGTGTACGAAGAAAAAACTTTTCAAAACAAAGCCAAAAGTTATGGCTGTTATTTCTGTAAAACAATGTTACACTTGGACCA